AATATCGTTGCGCTCTTTTGTCTCGTAGAATGGTGGGGCGGGCACACACACATATGCTGCATATCACATGGATGTGCGCCCGCTTAAAAATCACTCCCCATTGGCCCACCCTTAATTGCCAATAACTTTTTAGGGGTGAGTCTGATCAAAAAGTGCAAGAGGACTTTTCTGCTCAGAATCACCCCCTGATCCTAGGGTGTTCAGATGTACGTGTACTTCTGAAACACCCTGTATACGGGCCATATAGAAACCAATTTTGACTAAATTGGAAAGTTTCAATTGTACGTTAATTAATATTGGTTAATTGACGAATTACCGTTATTAAATGGAATTCTTACACCCCCTATTTACTTATGAGGCGATGTAGTGGAAAGAATTATTGTTTCTATAGTATACATAATTACAATATGGGAATCTAATAGGAGACTATTATTAATAAATTTTCAGGAAAATCCCCCACCTCCTAATCACTCGTTCAAATTCTCAGGAATTTTGGCACATTCAGCAGCTCAAATCCAATTAAAAGAATAATAACATATTGGGTGTTCCATCTCATTATCTTTATTTGCCAGTAGTTAGAAAATAAAAACTATTATATGATTTGGATAGTACATATTATAATATTCGGATGATGACTTGGTTTTTCACGACTAATTGAATTCTAAAGATTTCTCATTTGGTCGTCATTTCAATTAGCTAATGGATATTGATAAGTACAAGTCGTAAATTATAGAGCTAGAGGACCAACGCCGATCACGAAGTCCGACTGCGCCATCCGCAAGGTAGTCCCTATCTTTTTTTTGTCAACCGTTGTCACGTTCAAGAATGTTTCCTCAATTACTATCAGTAATAGTGCATATACTAATATGCGTATGGTCATTGCGGATAGTGTTAAAAATAGGAAGCATTAAAAGAAATATAATCATGATTTTGGCGATGAAGCCTCGTCAGAAAATTTTATTCGCTAGAGGTGTAATCGGATCCACTGCTTGATGCGGAGGATGATGAGCTTGGAGTATCTGAACTCGATTCTGATGATGATACTTTACGTGATCTTTTCGTCGGCATATTCTTCTTAGTGGTGGGCTTCTTCCGTTTTTTTTTGTTTCCGTTTTCCTTTTCTGTGAATTATTTCTTGGTGGACCTGTTATGAATAATAATGTATTTATTTAGCAATTTATTATTATTTAGATTGAGTTATAACGGAGGGTGAGAGACTTTCTATGCTGTTAAGACTCACAATCTTTTTTTTTTTTCTTGGAAGGCGCTCCTTTTTCCTGGGTTTCTCATGAAGATAGTCTTCCACATTCACAAGTTCCTTTTTGATTTGAGAATCACTCCACACAAGATAATTCCGGAGATAATAAGCAAAGATTTCTGTAACAGTCTATCCATCGATTATTATGGATAATGCATCCTGGCATGACTGTCACTGCCCCACGGTTAGAGAGTTCCCGACATAATGGATCGACGTCTTTGGCTCCGGCGACTTTTTCGTGGATGACGAAGCAATGCACACATTTGCACGTTCTTCCATTTCGTTGTCAATTTCTTCTACAGTCGCTGCATCCACAAATAGAAAAAAATTTCAATCAACACCACATATTGGTTTCAGTATCAGTTTGTTGAAGAAAACATTTGAGCCTTACCTTTTACAAATAAAATCTTGATAGCATCATATTTTCCACTTCGTTCAGCAATATAGCACTGTTGTGGATCGAATGAAGTCGAAAAATTCTTAATAATGCTCGTAGGGATAGTCGCGAATTCACCTGAGTTTAAAACCTCTACTCGAGCATACTCCATTATCGAGATCTGAGAACGATGGAATAACACTGTTCACAAATAATTTTATACATATGTTCAGAGTTTCGAAATTCACTGTTCTTAAAAAGTCATGACAAGGATATTGAGACGAGTTCCATGCCACTGTATACACTATTCTACTGGGAATGAGCGGGAAACTACCTGGCAACTGCCACTGGCCTCTCCGTCGAGACACCAGCCGTGTTGCCAAACCTCTGAACAGGTAGCGCCTCATTCGCACAGGTGAGGATCGTCGTGGCAGCGCTGTGCATGACTCCATAGTCTAAGCGCCAGGCGCCTTTCGACATCTAAGCGCCAGGCGCCTTTCGACGCGTAACGTTTCTACAGGTCACAAGTGCGGGTAAAGTGAATAGTGGAATTTGTCGGTGTTTGTGTCTAATTAGTCAGACGAATTAACAAATCTACAGAGAAAAACAAAAACTGGAAAAACTTGTAACATTTGTTATTCACGCTAATGTTCACGCTCTTTTTAAGAGTGTGACGTTGGTGCTATCGTTATTATTGATTGTTGTTATTGACTGTGATACATTTGTGGTGGGCTACTGACAACTTGGACTGGACGTTCCGAAATTGGATTTGTTTCTGGAAGTTTTAACGTAAGTGGAAACTTTTGATAATTAATGTATATTTCGATCACAGATTGCAATAACTATTTTTTGGTGACTGATTTTTTTTTGTACATTCTGTCCGTTGCATACCGACGCGCGTTGAATAGAATTATTTGCTTGGAATTACTTGACCTTCAAACGTATCTATTTGGGTTTATAATCCGCGAGTTTCCTCAATTATCTCATGAAATGACACAGTCTTCCGTCTTCACCTATGTGTATCGTATGGAGAATTGTATTGGTTTAATCATGTTGGAGATTCGATCATACGAAACATTTCATAAACATAAAAAAAATAGAAGTAGAGCTGAATATTCAATCAAAATCATTTGCGTCACTTCTGACTCCTGTAATTGAAATCATTAAAAACATTGAAAATGTCTATTCTTATTTCAACGCAATTTCAGTTCAATGTAATCAACAAAGCAATTGATGTCGTAATTTTGTCGAAGGGACTATTTATTTCTTAATACGATTTCTCCTCTTCTTTTTGTTTATTCATATGCTACAAAACAATCTAACGTCTTGAGTTATCTCTCTTATCTCTTGCAATATCTCTATCTACGTATCAAGTTTACTTCTATCCATCGTTCTTGTTCGAATATTTATAATTCTACTGTATTTAATTTACAGCCGACGAACGTCCAGCGAGTAGCTCCCGTGAACAAGACAAAAAAAGACTGAAACTAAGTCAATATCAGAAAGAGAAAAGATGAAGAGGAAATTGAACAGCCTGATAACATCAGACGGCCCAAGTACATCTGATGAAGACGATACTCCGCAGAAGATTCAAGAGTTAAAAAAAATATTGACAAATTGTTATACGTATACCAAAGGCTTGGTACTAGACGAGAAGAACCTATCTATTTTATGTTTTAAATGACTTTTTATTAAAGGATAAAAGACTATATGAGGAGAAAGAGGAGAATATACTTACCTGTAGGCGTAATGAAAGCTCATCCGTAGTTCTTTACTCACACACAGACGCCCCTCCCTTCCCACCAAAGAAACAATACGATTCTTTCAAATTCACATTATAAAATTACAGTTTCCTCGATAACGATCAATAATATCGATAACTACCAGCAAATAAAGATAATGAGATGGAACACCCATTGTCTCCTATTCCTATTGGAATATATTAATTAATTAATTACTATTGCAATAGTATGTTAATTAATTAATTAATTAATTAATTAGTCTCCTATTAGATTCCCATTGTAATTATGTATACTATAGAAACAATAATTCTTTCCACTACATCGCCTCATAAGTAAATAGGGGGTGTAAAAATTCCATTTCATAACGGTAATTCGTCAATTAACCAATATTAATTAATGTACAATTAAAACTTTCCAATTTAGACAAAATTGGTTTCTATATGGCCCGTATAGGCCTATCCATTAGATTCCCATTGAATATTTCATCAAGGGGAAGCAGTGGTGGCCCCATCTATTTCCATTGCATCGTCCCAACCTCAAAATCCTAAAATACCAATGGGAATCAATGGTGTTTTGACATAAACACTATATGATACCCATTACCTCTTTTTCAATTGGATTCAATCGGGGACTTTCGCCAAGGTAGTTACTTGATTTGCTACACAAATGAGTTTTAAAGAAATTAACAAATAAATGCACAAGATATAAGGTGAACTTCAGATATTTTATATTCCATTTCAGCTTCGAACTTTCATAATAATAGTTACTTTGAATTTATATACCTTTATGGTCTTTAAAAACTAGTACTCGTTACAATATCGCATCTAGCAAAATCTTCTATATCTGAATAATTATTTCCGCTGTGCTTTTATAGGAATTTGTGCCATAAAAATAGGTATCGCAGCTATGGACAAGTAATTTTTACTACAGAAATTCTCTTCGGGCACAATTAATAACTTTTCAAGTCAAAAATTTAATCAAGATAAAATCTGTAGCGAAGTGGTAAAATGAGGTAAGTGTATTGTTTCCTATTTTCGTAAAACTCGGATTATCTCATATCAGAAGGACTGATTTTAGAGAGAAAGTCACAAAACCATTTTTGTAGCTGATTATTTTTCCAACAAAGAATGTTATTTGATATATTATATATTTTGGTTCCATATGTATACCCTCTCGGGTTTTTACATTTTGTTCCCTTCCCTATCTGCGTTACCATGGGCCGACTTACTTTATCCCCAACTGCACCCCATTCGGGATTGGACTGCCAGGGAAACCATGGAAAACCTCAGTCGTGCAGCCGGCCGATAATGCAGGGATTCCACTGTGTCTATTGGTCACACTGACTCAATGGGCACAGTGATTCTCTACATTCGTGCCTAGCGACTGTAGTCCCACGCGGTTAGGTGTGCCCAAGCGGACACCCATCCAAGTACTAGACAGACTGAACACTGCTTAGCCTAGATGACCGCCGGAGTCACACACTCCCCGCGTGATCACTACAGCCACTGAATGTTATTTGATATTTTCTTCTAAAATCATTCCTTAGTGAGATAATACGAGTTTTAAGAAGATGTGGAGAATGCACTTACCTCGTTTTACCATTTTGCTACAGAAATATATTCGTTCCTTCTTCAGAAATCACTTTTCCAATGAAAGGGCAAATGAGAGGCCTCCATCAACCAAGAGAAAATTTTGCGAATAATTCTAACGGCATGTTGTCGTCAAATTTTGGTAGATATTTTACCGATAATTTTAATGGTTCACTGTCATCCTATTTTTGCGGAAATTTTGCCCATAATTTTGACATGTTGTCCTATTTGTGCGGAAATTTTGCCGATAATTTTGACTACATGTTGTCGTCCAATTTTTGCAGAAATTTTGCCGATAATTTTGACGACATGTTGTCGTTCAATTTCTGCGGAATTTTTGCTGATAATTTTGACGACATGTTGTCGTTTAATATTTGCGGAAATTTTGCCGATAATTTACCGATTTGCTGTAATCCTATTTTTGCAAAAATTTTGCCGATAATTTTGGTGACGTGTTATCGTCCAATTTTTGCAGATATTTTGCCGATAAATTGGATGATACATTGATGGTAGATTTAACGAAAAAATTTGACGATGAACATGGTCATGAGCGTTCGTCATTTTGATGACAATTTCGCTGTTAAGTTTCGGAAATTCTTTTCGGAATTTGGTCGACAATTCAGCTGTAAAATTTCGGATGCTATGTCGACAATTTTCCGGAAAAATGTCGGCATCTTGTTTTCTGGGGTACGTACACCACTATAAAACGGTGAAAAGTGGGGTACCGTGAAACGAAGCAAAGGGTTAATCAGGGTTTATTCAGGATTTAGTCAGAGTTTAACGAAGGTTCTGTGAGAAATCAGGCAGGATCATGACTCACTATGAATAGGGAAGAGGGGGCAAAATAAAACAGTTGGGCAAAATGAAATAGTCAAGAAAACAACTGTTTGACGCAATTCAAGCAAAAAACATTTTTTTTTATTAAATATTTTTTAGTTCAATTTCTTTACGTGGATACGTCTATGGTTTCAATTTGGGAGGTCATTTTGGGAAATGTTCCTTAAGTACAGCATATCTATCGGAATTCTAGAAAATTCTAGACATTTCGAGATAATTCAAGAAGTTTCTTGAAATTTCGAAAACATTCAAAGAGTTTCTAGAAATTTCGAGGAGTTCCATGACCAAAGACATGAAGAAAAACCATGGACGTATCCACATATAATTACAACTGTATCAAAGGTACAGCCGCTTGCAATTTTTTTATTCTTGGGAGTACTGATGAGAATAATACTTTTCCATTCAGTAGAATAGAAAATCATTGAGAAGTTTGATGAGCGAAGATTTTGTCAATGGACTATTCGATGAAAATTTTGCATCACATTTTCCTTTTTCCTCCTCTGGGTCTCCCCATGGGCCTGGCTCTGGGCTTTGGATTTTGCTGTTTCTTTTTCTTTTCAATTAATCCATTGACAAAATCTTCGCCCGTCAACACTCAATAATTTTCTACAGAATAGAAAATTATTATTCTTGTGACGTTTGGGATTTTAGTATACTATTAGTTGTATCTTAAAATCCACGGGTCGTCAGTTGACCCTTTCACCTAGCTAGCGATACCGGTGAGCTTACGGATCGTTCGCTCACGGGGAAACTAATCGGGAAGGGAGATTTAGGAATGGTTCTCCTCCCAAATAACCAGTAACGCTCCAAGTTATCCAATCATGAGAATATAATTAACTAATAGGAACGTTACACGACAAAATGGGTTATATGGGTTCGGCGTACGCGGATCTAGATTTTTGGGGAAGGCCAACGTCTGGACACGTCGGCCTCCCACCGTACTCTGCCTTGGAGCAGAGTCGCAAAGCGGTTGCAAATCCAAAATGCTTGATAAGCACTCCCACGGTTTTACCTTCAAAGAGCTCAGATTGACTCTTGTTACACCGTGACTGCTTATTCAGCATCGGACCCGCAAATACTTTTGTTATTAAAATATTGATTAAACAATTCCGACGTGTGGATGCTCCACACGTCACATTTTTACCAGTAATCCCAAGAATGAAAAGATATTTAATAAAAAAAATTTTCTTTACTTGAATTGCGACAGTCTTTTTTTTACTGTTTCATTTTACCCCACTCTCCCCTAAGTATTCAACATAATAGACTAGTAGCTGAGTTTTAATAGAGATAGATTTTGATATAAAAGCTTATGCTGGCATTGTGTAACTCGATAAGTTAAGAAGGCATTGAAATATACTTTTCAAGCCGTAATGGAATTGCTAGTATTGATGATTCTTTCAGTAATCATGAAAAAAGTGATTTTCTCTTTCAAATCGCATAAACAATGTGTTGTAACTCCACAACGACTTGTGCGACCCCCACATATTCTGATAGAATCTGAAAAGGGAGAAAAGGGTATTGTTATCTATTTTTTGAGCCATGACTAATTTGATGTTGATGACAGCTTTTTGAGTGATCGTTGAAAAATCTATTTTTGGAAAAATTAAATTTTAATTGGTGTCAATGAATAGAGCTTATAAAAATCTATATTCATGAAAAAATGCATGAAAGTCGATTCATCTCTTATGAGAAAATTTTGAGAACAAAAATGAAGAAAGAAACCCCATACATACAGACACCATCTAAAAATCGCGTATTTGGAGTTTTTAGCCTATATTTAGTTACCCTAACACAAAGAATTGGAAACTTAAATTTGAGGTATTACAAAGCTTCCATTCGGAAGCAATGAAATGCAAAATTGTTCCGAACAAAGAGAGAAGAATTTATTCATTTAATGATAAACATTTTACTGATTTTGAACACATAATTACTGAAATTTATTACAATACATACATTTTGTTAACCAAAAAATTTAATTATTTATTCAACATTTCCTTTGTAACATCAGTCCGGATTAACGCACTTTGTGGTGAGTAATGTGATATCGTGGGGCGGCCAGACCTTGCAGATAGCTCGAGCACGTACTAGACCCTGCGGAACCGGTCCATACTGCCTGGAATCCGCTGAGTTACTGCTATTGTCACCTTCCAGCCATATATGACCCTCTGGAATCTTTGAAGATAAGAGGAATTAATTTCTTTCGTGTTCACCAAGGTATCACTCATCCCATTCTATTATTGGAAGTGTTTGGCAACGTGTCTCGATGAAAAAGGATGGGGTAAAATAGAATTTTGAAGATTATCAATATTTCGGAGGTCATCCATTATAATTCAAAGAACTTTGTTCAATCCCCAAGTGCCAGAAATGTTATTAGATTTTACTGAATCAGTAGTGCAGAAGTCAAGTAACGCGCATCAATTTCACTCATTTTAGTTATTTTAGCCGTTAATTTTTGCTGAAGATCTTGCAACGGAAAGGAGATAAATTTGTATAGAATTATTTCTAATAGAATTAATTGAGACCCTTTAATATACAAAGAAAATTGAACAGAAAAACCTAGTAAATACTATTCAATTTCTGTGCGAATTCTCCTGGAAATTCTACTTCTTTTTGTGGTTTGAAAAAACTTTATCGAAAAAATTGACTGATTTTGATATTTTTCTAACGTATTCTAGTACCATTGTTCCTGTAGAAATTTTTTAATACGAGAAGGAAAAAATGCAGTGAGAAAAACAGAAAATTTATGTCGAGGAATTGCCATAAAAATATCTCAATGGCACGAATTGTACAGAAAAATCTAAACGTAATTTTTTCTTGTTCTACATTTGTGTTTACAAAAAAAATCCTGAGAAAATTTCCTGGGGATTCGGAAATATTTCCCAAAAACTCACTGTCAAGTTGACTTGACTTGTTTGATTTTACTACTTCTTCAAGGTATTGGTTTTGGAGATAATATCCAATATTATTTTTGTTTTTAAAGAGTTGATTCCACCGTAGTTTTTACTTTAGATGTCTTTAAAGACTCACTATATATGTTGTGAATCCGCGGCGGACCATTTCGCCCTCCACAGCCTTGATTCTTTTGCAAATATGTTGGCGAGGGTTTGATGGACATTTCGCTATCACAATATCACCTTTTTTCAATTTTAGAAGACGCGGGGTGATGTGCTCAGTAAAGAGAATGTCATTACTGTAGATTGTCGGCTCCATTGAAGGTCCTGTACACTGAAAAATTGATTAATCTAATTGAATAAATAATTTTCCTCCCATTTTTGGGAAAAAATTTGTTTTTGTTATATTGGGGTAAACTGGTAGTAGATGATAAAGAATGGGGTGTGGAGAAAGATCATGGAGTCTATCTCTGTAATGAACAATTTCAGAATAATTTGTGAAAACATATTCGATGATAAACGGAATCATATTTAACCCTTGATCACTCGCTCGATGAGCGCGGCGCCGCCCATTTACGTTTTTGCTTCCGAATTGAAGCATTGTAATCGTGCTATTTTCACATTCTCTAATTTTGAGTGGAAATTATGTAGAATGGTCTGAAACGTAAAAATACGAAGTTTGGCGACCATGTCTGTCGGTGTCAATGTTCATCGCCACCTTTCCGGTGGTCAATTTTTGAAAAATTGAGTAATTAATTGGCTAAATTTATTCCAAAAAATCTGAAATTTTGTCAGATTATAGTTTTGTCAGATCAAATAGTTTTTGAGGAAAAGCTATTTGTTTTTAAATAGTTTTTCGCTAATATCTTCAAAGCTAGTCAACCGATTTCAATTTTTTTTTCAAAATATTCGTTTCGATGCCTTCTATCCGAATCAATCAAAACATATATACCCGTTCATACAAAGTTTTCGAGATATTTCCGTTTTTCTGTTTTTTTATAAAGATCCTTGCAATCACTCTAGCTTGTGCAAAAATTGAGATATCAACTTGAAATTTATATAGAATCTTCCCCTCATGATAACAATACTTCCTATTGAAAATGAGCTCAATCGCATAGGTAGTTTTCGAAATATTCGATTTTCTCTGAAAACCTTTTATGTGCAATAGCTTAAAAACTACGCAACCGATTTCAATTTTTTTTCAAAATATTTATTTCGATGCCTGCTATCCAAATGCCTTCTATCCCATTCGGAAGCTTACTACCAATGGAATTGGTAGAAATGAAAGAAAGAAAAAGAGTTATAGCACATGAAGTAACGGTCAGATGGCTTCGGCCAAAAAGACTCGACCCCTGCTTGTTTATATTTTAGCAAGGTTTCTCAACGCTTAAAAATTCTGAGAAAATTAGAATTCCTAGTTCAATCCTTTTACTAAGCGTTGGCGTTGTCTTTTTTTTTCTCGAGAAATTTGTTTAGCTAATTTTACTAATTACGTCGTGATATCTTAAAAATGTTTCTTAATCCATATTATTTATTTATTAAGTGCTTTCTTAATTGCCAGGAGGGGGTGACGATGGCATAGATCCACACTGTTTTCTGGCAACATCTGTTTGTCTTATGTATTCTGTATGTTGGCTGCATTTAGATTAATCCTAAAGCAATTTTTTTGTATGTATTTATTGTTATTGTTGTGTTGACAAGGAGAGGCTTGTGTAGGTGTAAAACAGTAATTGTAGCACCAACGAAATAAATTCTATTCTAATTAAAAAAATGCAATTTTAGAAAATTACGAGTATTTCCTATAAATAATTTACAAACAAGCAATTTTCCACCATAAAAATCATTTATTCGGAATCATAACAAATTTATATTCAGAATTTCACCAAAAGTCGATTTCATGCCTAAAAAATTAAGTTTCCGAAAGTTTAATCAATTTCATTCATTTATTTATAAGCAAGGAATGTTAAAAAAAGAATAATTCTGTGCAAAATGTAATTTGAATAACGATGAATATTCAGGATTTTTTAAAAATGTTGTCACACAATTGTCAATTTAATTGACAAATTTGATGATTGAAAATGGTTGAACCTGTAGTGTGGTCTGTATGAAAATGTAAAAAATACTTGGATATCTTTAATGAATGGATCGAATGATTTTTTGAATGATTTGATGATCAATGATTTTTTGTAGGTGGGCCATCCACCAAATATCATAAAGAAATCCGGCCTCCAAATTTTCGACGCATTTTTTTGTTTGTTTTTCGAATAGTTATGTATGAAAAGGAGAGTTCTCGAGTACCAGTGATCCGCAACGATTCAATTAATAATGCTCCGTGTGATTGAACATTTCCGACTTCAAATTCTTCGTTCAAATTTAACATGCTCGAAAATGTCTAAAAAAAATTGAAAACTGAAAAATTTTAAACTGATTATTTTGATCAGCAATTTTTTAAAATTAATTTCAGAAACTTGACTACTAATTTAATTAAGTAATTATTAATTTTTCAAAAATCATGGTCATTTTTCTCCCACACCTCTACTTCATAGTAAAAATTGAGAAATGAAACTTTCAACGTTGAAAATTCTGAAAATTCCTGATTGAAATCCTATTTCAAAGGTGTTCGTTCGTACACCGCAGCACCGAAAAAAAATAAAAAACAAAAAATGAATAATTGGAAAATCGGTTTTTCATGGTTCGGTAATGTCATTAGAATGTCCATTCATTATATAGTTATTTTTATTGGCACAACTTACTTCTTTATTCACTATTAACGTTATAATATGCAAGGACCATGAGAAATAAAATTTTGAAATATACATTTTTTGCTTCGCGCCATCGGAAGAAACAATTTTTAAATATCATTTCAATCGGAACATTTCCTGAATTTTTCAAAATATTTGTCAGATCTAGCGAAAAAAGTATAAATATTGTGTAATAGGGAAACGCATGAATTTTTTTAAATTTTCTAATCTTAAGCTTGGGACCTGAATAATTCATTTTTCACTCACACACTTTCGAAATATTTCTCATTAATTAATAATTAATATACAAAACATTCCACGTATCAAAAATGATAAAACTTCATGGTATGTAATAGAGTATTTTTTCCAGAAAATGCTGTGGCAGTGTTAAGGATGTTTATCTAAAATTGCAAGTACTTAAAAAAAATTGATTTTTTGAAACTGAGAGATGCAGATATTCCCTTCATTTTTATACAAATTTCAATCCACCAACCCACGTTCATTATTTAGAAATGAAATAGACAAAATGCACCAAATACATGCGCTAACATGCGCTTATATGGGATAGAATCATTCAAATATTTCCTCCTTTTGCCCGGGTACCCCAGATTTTTCTCTGGCCATTGGATTTAGTAAGATTTTACACATTACCTTTTATTTTTATTTCTATTTTTAGAATCTTCTAGTAGGTGAATTATCAATTTGAACATAAATTTCATAAGAACCCGTGTATCAGGAAAAATTAGTTTATTCATTTCTGCCGAGACTATTGCGATTCATTTTTTTTTAACGTTAGAAAAGTTAGTTTTATATGTTCTACTGTCAGCCGAAAAAATTACAGAATTTTCCTTGACTATGAAAAAAACCGATTTACCGACAATTTACCGACACTGGCTAAAGATCCTTGAAGCATGCTTTCCACTGCTGAATGATATTGTTGAAAAGAATGTTAAGGATGTTTATCCAAAATAGCAAGTATTCAAAGAAAAATTAATTTTTTTTCAACTGAGAGATGAAGTTACTCCCTTTATCTTGATAATCTATTTTCTATTTTTAGACTCTTATGGTAGGTGAATTATTTTTAAATTTCAACATAAATCCCATAAGAGCCTGTGTATAAAGAAAAATTTGTTTATTTATTTCTGACGAGACTATTGCGATTATTTTTTTTAACATCAAAGAAGTTAATTTCATATGTTCTGCTATCAGCCAAAAAATTATATAATTTTCCTTGAACATGAAAAAAATAGATTTGCTGAAAATGGCTAAACATCCTTAAGGATGTTTAACCTATCAAGTGGACAACTCAGTTGAAAATAAAAATAAAATTGACTAAATAAATCATTCATGTTACAAATCATTTTTTTCATTAAATTAGAAGTGTTATGGCGTACTTTTCCGGTTTCAAAAACAATAATTAAAGAAAATGTTCATAAATAATGGAGGACTTGTGACCGCGGTGGTAACAGTCGAATTTTGATCGGGCAACATCGCACGCTTCGGTTAGTAATGGGGTTGTAACAGTGAGATGAATGTTTATGTGTGTTATACAGTGTTATCAGATCGTGACGTCACCCCATTTAAAATTGTACAGGTTTTGGCTATAAATCGCCAAAATCTGGCAACCCTGGTGTTATACGTGTCCATATGCCTCCAGCTCCAGCATTGAATTATCGTCACGGACTTTATCGACCTCGATCAGCTGTTGTGCGGTGTTGTCACGTTGCCCGACTCGTAATGGCGGTCAAATTTTTATTAGAGGAATTCGAAAATCAATCGAAGATATCACGCCTATATGGCCCGGTCCCCTACTTGGTCTCGTCCGTGACAGATTCCCCATAGTCTAAAGTAAATGGCTTGTGGTTTTTTTTTCAATATCTTGAGTGTCTAACCCATGCAACATCTCGATCAAAGTTCACACGGTCACATTTCTTCCCTAAGCGTAATGTTACAAAAAGTGATTTACAGAAATCAAATTTTCACTAGGATCCCCCCGTGGAAGGATTAAGATTATTACTAACGTGTGACTCAAATATGAACCTGGCATATGAGACAATATCAAAATTTTGGCGAATAATGGGGGTTTTGGCTAAACATCCTTAAGGTGAAACGAAACCCCTGTCTATGAAATTTTAGAATTGTGTCTTCTCCTGCAATTATTATTTTTTATTTATGAAACTACTTTATTGACTCAACAATGCAATGCTCGAGTCGATCAAGTGATTTCATAGATAAAAATGACTAATTGTAAGAGAAAATACAATTCTAAAAGTTCATATATACTCAGGGGTTCCGTTTCCCCTGAACAGTCGAAAATTTACATTCAAATACAGCGAATGCTTCCATTCCCTCTTACCAACCGAGAACCAACCATCGAAAAATCCTCACAGATGTCACCCTTGCAATCTCCCTCTATTGTTTAAAATTCCTAACCTCTCTTGATTTTGACAGCTGTAACCTTGAAAATCGTCTGAAACTCTGGACTCACCACAATAAAATCTCCGACGTACTCAAAAACACAGTGCGTGATGCACGTGTACTGAGCCAGTGTCCCGACAGCACTCAGCAGCTTCCCAAAGTACGGTTTAACCATAACTGCCCCTTGAAAACCCCCCGAAGACTCTCACCTCTTTGTCTCGTCCTTCCTCCGTCAACAATTCCTCCCCCACCCTTTCGCTGCATAACATTCACCCTCCGATACAACAAACCCGCATATTTTTGTCACACTCCGCGATCATTTGAGAATGATTTCGAAATGCGATGCCTTTCGTCACACTCGCGCACGAAACAAATCAAATAAAACTCCCCACCACGAGTTTCTTCTTTATCGGAGAGGTCCGAGGCCTCTTAAAATTCCCACGAGAGGCGCTTCAAATATTTATTCAACATCTTCTTCAATAAACAAATGTCAATAGATAATTTTCTCACCATTCTATCACTTAAACTCACAATTAAGTAAATTGAAAATGAATAATGGAGAAATTCCGTGTAAAATATCCCAGAATAACCGACCATTATTTTGACACAGTCGGTAAAACAGCTGATCTGCCCTTCAAAACCGTAAAAACAAAACGCGTGAATCTTCAAGACTTCAGTGAGCCGTGTCGATGGGTTTTATAACGCATCGTGTATGTACCTCTAGTTTCCACCCAGAAAAAATTTTGCCCGATAGTTTCGTCCTTCTCTCATTTTGAAAAGAAGTAGGGAAAAAAGGGTGGAACAAAACCACACGTTCATATATATTAGTCACCGAGTGACTCTGTGTCCCAGTGTTGGTCGGTTTCTCAGTGCTGACAGTGGTGTTTATTTCCCTCAGAAATAATGAAATAAGTGAAGTGATACGGCAATACAGGCCAAACACGCGGTTACGATTCACACGAGGATAGAACGAATAATAATTACTTCATCAATCATGAGAATAAAATTGATACGTGCCCTGGTGATATTTTATTAATTATATTTGTGCTCGCGAGGGTGACATGACTGTCGTCTGCAGTCGAGTGAAGTTTTTCGTTTCATAGGAAAAACAAAAAAATCGGAGGATTTAATCGAAAAAATTAACTGACGGCATTTTATTGGATTAATCAGAAAGGTGAGATTTTTATCGTTTATCAATATGTTGATTCATTGCTCTATTGATGATTATAAAATTGTTTGAAGATTGTTGGGAGAAAAATTCAGATGTTAAAAATGCTCTCAAGGTTTCCACCGAACTTTTTTTACACTCGGGGAATTCCTCGTCGTTTAGTTCAACCGAGGAAAATATAGCATCTCCTGTTTGTCAAGGTGAATCACAGGAGAATGAACGTTTTTCCCACGATGATTCATAATGTCCTTCGGTGAACGTACTCCGGACGATTTTCTAATTTGATGAGCTGCTTTGTCGGTACATTAACCTACTCAAAAAACCTCTCGGGGTCAATGCAAATGTTTCGATGAGGCAATGACAATTTTGTGCTACAAATAACTCGGCTTTTATTCGAGACTCTTTGTTTAATTTTAGTGGACGTCTCCCTGACAACAGATGTCCAGATAAGACACGTGTAACTAGACTCACGCTTTCATTGATTCCATTGATAAAAGGATAAAAGCAGTGAAATTATTGATTAATTGGAGAGGTTGAGAGTCGTGAATTTGATAAATTCTTTACGACTTTTTTGTTTTTGAGGTGATGATTGATGGGAAATCTTTTGATGACTATTTCCATTAGAATTGTGTGGAGAGAATGAGCGATAAGAACGAGTCAGTAAACCAGGCCAAATGAGTTGTAAATAATGTTGGGTTCTTTGGGCAATTGTTGCGAATGAGTTCGAGAGATTCGAGTGGGTATTCAAACAATGGTGTTGGGGTTGATTAAAATCAAACTTGATTTTAATTGATCTCGTTAGATAGCGAGCGATAAAAATGAATTTAGATTGATTGGAGCCACCGATAGCTCATGCGGAGAGTGAATCGCTCTTGGAGATTACGAAATTTAATTGTATAGGGAATATTGGAGGTATGAGTTTTGTATTGTGGCAATAAAAATGAGCTGTAAAAATATTGAGATTGTATGCACGCATAAAGTTATTGGGAACGATCCAGTTACGGTATCGTGAGGCAGATAGAGAAGTCGTTGGAACACTATTTGAAATGTTTGAACATTGTTAAACAATTTTCTCTTTGGAAGAGTCGTAAAAGTGGAGATAATGTTTTCCTGATTCGTTGGAATGTAATGGAGGTATTGAAATTTTCATGGGCTTTCATTTAGCAGAAAATAATGAATGATGGGAAATCTTTTGAAGATCATTTTCATTGAAAGTGTATTTGGAGAGAATGAGCGATAAGAACGGTCAGTAAAGTTGGCCAATTGAGATTCAAATAATGTTGAACTTTTAGGTAATTATTGGGAATAAGCGCGGAGATTCGAATGGGTTTTCAAGCATTGTTGTTAGGTTGATTAAAATGAAACTTGATTTTAAGTGATCTCAGACAGCAAGTGATAAAAATGAATTTAAATTGATTGGAGCCACTGATGGCTTATGTCGAGAGTGAAATTGGTCGTGGAGAATTGCGATGTATAGAGGATTTTTACAGGATTTTTAAAAGTATGAAAGTCAAACAATCACATGTACAAATGCTTTTCAAGTGCAAAAAATTTTGTACATGATTAAAAAATATTTGCCCACCTCTAGATGTGTTTGAATCGCAAAAAATTGAGATTGTCCGGACAGCTATTGTGCAGGATTGGATTTAGGTATCGTGGGGAAGATAAAAATGTAGTTAAAAAACTATTTGAAATGTTTGAACATTGTTAAACGATTTTCTCTTCAAAAGAGTTGTAAAGGTGGAGATTATGTTTTCCTGATTCCTTGGAATGTAATGGAGATATTGGTATTTTCTTGGGTTTTCTTTTAGCAGAAAATGATGATTGATGGGAAATCTTTTGATGATCATTTTCACTGGAAGTGTATTTGGAGAGAATGAGCGATAAGAAGGAGTCAGTTAAGTCCATTGATTGGAGTCACTGATGGCTTATGTCCAGAGTGGAATTGGTCTTGGAGAATTGTGGGCAATACTGAAAGTATAAATCTTGTAGTGGGACGATAAAAAAACGTAAAAAATTGAGATTGTCCGGACAGCTATTGTGCAGGATTCGATTTAGGTATCGTGGGGAAGATAAAAATGTAGTTAAAAAACTATTTGAAATGTTTGAACATTGTTAAACGATTTTCTCTTTAAAAGAGTTGTAAAGGTGGAGATTATGTTTTCCTGATTCCTTGGAATGTAATGGAGATATTGAAATTTTCTTAGGTTTTCTTTTAGCAGAAAATGATGATTGATGGGAAATCTTTTGATGATCATTTTCACTGGAAGTGTATTTGGAGAGAATGAGCGATAAGAAGGAGTCAGTTAAGTCCATTGATTGGAGTCACTGATGGCTTATGTCCAGAGTGGAATTGGTCTTGGAGAATTGTGGGCAATACTGAAAGTATAAATCTTGTAGTGGGACGATAAAAAAACGTAAAAAATTGAGATTGTCCGGACAAAGCTATTGTAGAAGATTTGATTAGGATATCGTGGGGAAGATAAAAATGTAGTTGAAAAACTATTTGAAATGTTTGAACATTGTTAAACGACCTTATCATCACATGACTCGTAAAAATGGAGATCCGTTTTTTGTGACTTCTCGGAATGAAATAGAGATATAGAAATTTTCATGGGGAGGCGTTTTGAAACAGAACGAGTCATCCATTCCTCTCAGATTGAGAGATACTTATCGGAAAAATACTTGAGAGATAAGTCGACTTATCTGGTTTTAGCACTTTTCCCCTAGAATTAGCGATGATATTCATGAAATATTTGAGACGACTTGGCAATGTCGTAAGGCCAATGGAAATTTAATAAAAAATCCAAAAACATGAATAATAACGGATAATTCGCAGGTGAACAAATTGATTGTCAAAACATGAAAATATTTTTATTTACCATTCAGACATGTTGAGGAATGAAATACAATTGCAGGGGAGATAAAATAATTCGTCACCGAACGTGAGATAACTTTTTTTTTTACCCCGCTCATTACTGCAGTGAGGAAGTGGCCAAAGAGTTTGAACCAACGCATAACGTCTGCTAGCGGTAATTATGGGATTATCTTGTTAATGAGTCTTTGAAAAATTTAGCAAAGGGCTTATTTATTGAGGAATAAATGAAATAAATTGAGCAGTAATTAAGTTTCATTATTTGAGACGAAATAATATCATTTTCACAAGTTGTAATTACGAAACCATTCCAACAGAATCTCTAACAGGATACGTTTTTTCAAATATCTTCAGCTACAAAAAAGGTTTTTCAACCGTTCTTGTTATAACGGCTCATTCTCGATATAAATAACGAAATTGACTCCCTTGTGCAGATAGATCATATCTACAAATTTTAATTAGGGAGTTATCTGGCTACTGTGTAATAGGGAACTTGCATGAAACTCAATTCTTTCTGATTCCCCAATTCATACATTGCTCATCACATATAGATAGTTGAATGGCGAAAATTATGGAGAAATATTGCCTAGATGGCTTATGCTAATTATTTGAAAATCTGTCGTTTTCGAGCCCAATTTCTCGGTTACGACGTCTTGAAGACGATCAGGTAACGCTTCATTGGTCGAGTATGAAGGGAGTGGGGAGTTATCGTCCTCCATTGGCCGAGGCGCACCTCAAGATTGGGTTAGGTCTGCTCGAGTCATTCTGTGATTGGTCCAGCGCTCGACCGCCTGTGTGACGTCATTAGCGATTCCAGAGCATTTAAAGTCTTCGGCTTTTAACAATTATTCATCAATTAATGAGCAATATTTCGCACGTTTGTGAATGAAAAATGAATTATTCAGGTCCCCAACTTGAGATCAGAAAATTGAAGAAAATTCATGCAAGTTTCCTATTTATTTTTTTATTTTTAACGTAATTCGTCGCAAGAAGCTTGTGACTGGCCATCGCCCGAGGGCCTTCAGCCTAGAGTTTCCTATTTCATGAAAATGAAAAAAGTCTACTCATATTTTCTGCTAAAATCAATTTTTTCTGAAATAAAACGTATGAATAACAAATTTTTCAGATTCAAGTCGATGTACTGTATACCCAATGCGTCATTATCGTGATAATGATTGACTTTCTGAGAAATCATTAGAGAAACGTTTCTGTTCATAATTTCTTTTTAGCTTCGGAGGAGGACATTTCCTGCTGCAACCAATGATTCGTGAAATAGATTAATAATCACGAACTATTACGAATTATTCTTCAAATTTAACGCTCATTTTCTCTGATTTTCAGATTGAGAAATGGGGCGTTACACAGGAAAAAAATGTCGCTTATTGACAATGCTGTGGTTAACAGCATTTTTCTTCTTGGTAGAAGTTATCGTTGGTTACCTAACAAATTCAATGGCACTTGTTGCTGATAGTTTTCACATGCTGTCGGATGTAGCAGCTCTGGTAGTTGCATTTCTCTCCGTGAAGGTAATTATTCAATTACTAGTACGCTAAACTCTGCGGGAATACGAGGAAATTTCATGTACCGATAATTGTTTCTTTCAGATGTCGCCGAAGAAATGGTCGAAGAATACTTTCGGCTGGGCTAGAGCTGAAGTCCTGGGGGCACTGGTAAATGCAGTATTTCTGGTTGCTTTATGCTTCAGTATAACCGTGGAAGCTTGTAAAAGATTCATCGAACCAGAGGACATACACAGGCCTGAGTTGCTGATTGGTGTCGGCACTCTTGGGCTTTTTGTCAATCTCATTGGGCTGTGTCTGTTTCATGGTAAACACTGCAACTTGTTTAATTTATTATTATTATTATTCCATAATAATAATCTGATAAAATTTTTAGTCTCCAATTCTCAATTTATTCATTTATTCTATTCATTCTGTCAAAAGACAAGGATAGAAATAGAATTTGTGGGTATTCTTCCATTATTAGAAAATATATATCAATTTTAAAACTTTCCGGGGACAGTGAAAAATTTTTTTTTATTTCTATCCGCTTACGTTCTTTACATTTTTTTTATTTCTTCTCGTTGAAATTAGATCATGAAATTCCAAATTCTTCATATCCTGCCCATATTCGAAGAAAAAACAGTGATTCCAAGTTTCCACCGACAGAAATGAAGAAATACAAATTTTCTCAATTTTCTAGCCGATCATTCCTTTTTAAAAATTTTCCATCTGCAATTCGTGATTTTTGCAATTCATTGCTATTTATGTAATTCTATTCATTCTATCAAAAGACAAGGAAAGGAATTGAATATATAGGCATTCTTCCATTATTCGAAAAGAATATGGATTTTCAAACTTTCCGGAGACATTGAAACATTAATTTTTTTTAGTTCCTCCCACTCACTTTTTTGCATTGTTTAAATTTTTTGTTGCTGAAATATTGATGTCCCTCTCATAGTTGAAGAAAAAAAGTGATTCGAAGTTCCCATCGACATAACAGGACAACAAAATCCGTTTTCTAGCCGATTATTCCTTTTTGATTGTTTTTTCATTTCCTTTCCATAATAATAATTGGAATCCGACAATAAGAATGAGGACTACCGATATCCTTTTATCATATGAATCGCAAAATGTCAAGAGACCTTCTTTGTAGATCGTATAGTCATATTCCTTAAGAAATGTCTCTCGATAAATTCCTCTAAACTTTCCTGTTTCCAAGGTCTTTGTAGAAATTAATCTACATTTTTCAGATTTGGGAAATTTTCTATAAAAGTGATTCTTTAATATTTTCCCCCTAAGGGTTTATTATCGAGATAAGGATGCACTACCAGAAATTTTCACCTTTTCATCTCAGAAAAACATTGTTTTTCACTTGATATCTTTTCGTTCCGAGGAAAATCTCATTTAAAGTCGGGTTTAATATCTCATGAACACTCAGAATTGTTTCCAATAACCAAAATCCCATCCTGTTATCCTCAGGGCACCACCGCAGAGATAGTATACCGAACCGCGAGGAAACTGAGTTTCCTCCAACTTCCTCCCCCATTTCCTGTCACTGCAATTTACCTTCAACTTCCTATGTAGGTCAGAATATCCTTGATGCATTTAAAATTCAAAACGATTGAAGGTGTAGAATATTGTTTTTGTTACAATTAAATTTTTTTTGTTTTTAGAACATGGAAGTTCTCATGGCCATACGCATAGCACCTCACGTAGCCACAACAGGCTCAGCACGTTGGTATGTGATGATAATGAAAATGACGAGGCATATCGACCATCATCACCACCGCCACCACCACCTCCACCGATCAAAAAATCCCATGGACACAGCCATGATCCGAGTCAGATGAACATGCGGGGTGTATTTTTACATGTACTCTCCGATGCTCTTGGCTCCGTTATTGTTATTATTTCAGCTGCGATCGTGCAATTTACTACATGGGAAGGAAGGTGAATATCTTTTGAAAATGGAAGAATTTTTTTGCAATCTTACACTGAGAGAAAAACAAACAAGTTGTCAAAGAAGTCTTGTTTGGGTCAACATAATCGTTAGTTGAAAATTACCAAACAATAGGGGGTACGAGCCTATCCGTTATTAGTATTTTTCTTTTTTTTTCTACCAATTCTGCTGCTAGTAAACTGCCGAATGGATTCGTAGCAATTCCCTGTCCTTATGAAACCGTAAACACATGCTGCAGGGTGGCCACAGGAAGATATTCAATCTTTTAAGGAAATAGATTTATACAAAAGATTAAATATGTCCGAAACTGCTCGGTCGGTTGAGCCCAACCAGAATATCAACCTTCAATATTGTAAGCGCTGTAGTGATACCAAATTTCAACTTGCTATTTTCTTTTTTTCTCAAAACATTGTGCGTACAAGAACGAAAAAAATTAACAAACGAAAAAACGGGAATATCTCGGAAACTTTGTATAAACGGATATATATTTTAATTGATCTAGATAGAAGCCGTCGAGACGAGTATTTCAAATAAAAATTGAAATGCGTCAATTAGTTCGTGGGATATTTGAAGAAATATATTTACACAAAAGGTTGCATATCTCAGGAACCGCTCGGGCGATTGCGCCCATCCCAAATACCAACCTTTAGTATTATACGAGCTAGAACCATACCAAATTTCAACTTGCTATCTCCTTTTTTTCTCAAGTTATAAAACGGCAATATCTCCAAAATGTGTATCAATGAGTCTATATATTCTGATTGACTTACATAGAGACCATCGAGACGAGTATTTTGAAAAAAAATTGAAATCGGTGCAGTAGTTTTGAGATATTGAGGAAAAACGAAATTTAAACAACTTGTTATACCTCAGGAACTACTGGACCGATCGGGCTGCAACAACGCACCAAAGTTTAGCTCAATAATAATTACGATGAACCAAAATTTCAAATCTTCATCTACAAATTTCATCGTATTTATGTTGAATTTTCTAAAAATTAATCACCAAAAACCCAAGTTGTTGGATACACACATACAGACATGACCCTAAAAACATCATTTCTTCACGTTTCATAACATTTTAGACCATTTGCAATCAAAATTAGTAAATTGAAAAATCGGTCAAAAAGCAAAAAATGATTGGTTCGAATTTAAAAGGATCAAACATGAATAATTGCTCTGCTTTAAAAAACAACGAAATATTTGGCTCAAGAAGCGGATCATTCATACAAGACGCTGCCTTTTCAGGATAAAAATATCTTATATAGAGGGAAGTTTATCAAGAAGTGGTTTGTCCCAAAGTTACAAGACTGCTGTCATATAATTATTATTATTTTATTTAAGAATTCATTTTTTGTCTGTGATTATTGAATAGCCGAAACGACAAACTACTATCCCTCGTTTCATATAAAACAAGCATTGGCCGGGAGAAAAATACGTATGGGAGCATTGGATAACGAAAAAGTAGTGCTAGAAATTACATTTCTTGCTTGCACAGAGGATAAACATTTTTTCGAAAAGACTAAATCTACTTTTGCAATAAAAATTTTCAATTTGGGCGCACATTTTGCATGGTTGGCACAAACAAAATCCTTTTTTGATCGTCTTTAACAGACGATTTTTTTAGCACAAGTAAGACTTGTTTGAAAACTCTGATGTTTTTCTCTCAGCGTATAAAACAGGTTTAGAATAAAATCGCGAACTTATTTAACTTAGAATTAGTATCAATTGTCGATTGTTGAATCATCTCGGTAATAAGTGTGGCTAGAACGAATCGTCCAAAAAACATGTCGCGTGAAAAATTGCAAGAACCACAAGAAACGTCCTTTAACATTTCGTCGTGGAATGATTTATTTCCGTGATAATTGCGGTATACACCACAAATTCTCTTCAAGTTCGAAATTGATCAAGGATTGAGAACACAAAAAAGTCAATGTCAGATACCATTACACGTTTATGTCCCTTATCTAACGAGATCCTTAGAACCTTAGGGGACACTGGAGGACCTTGGCAAGATCCCTAGATCTCACTGAAATCTACCAAGAGGAATTATCAAGAGAACTTTGTTGTGTAGAATTCTCTCATCGACGAAAAAGGTTTCTGGACGTTTCTGGATACAACTTATCAATTAGCATATTCTGGATAAATTAATTACTATTTCATATCCCACCTGCATCGTTTTATCAACTGACTGTTGAATCCTTCGATTCTTTTCTAGAAATTACGATTTTATTATTGGTTTGTTTAGTACGTTTCCAAGAATAGAAAATATTATTGTCTTTCATGACATCCGTACTATGAATTACAGCGCATGTGTCAATGTTACATAAATGTTGGTCAATTTTTATGATTGTGGTTTTTGTTTTCAAGAAAAACATGTTATGGAAATTTCATTTTATTTCAGCCGACATATCGATCCAGCATTATCCCTGATTCTCGTGCTTCTTATTCTACGCTCTGTCTGGCCACTGCTGCAGGAATCGGCTTTGATCTTACTCCAGACAGTGCCAACTCATATTCAAGTAATTTTTTTTGTGCTATATATCCGTCTTTCCAGGAATAACTCTTTATTGATCAAAACCCTCACTTTTATTACTAGGAGAGATGAAAGGGATACCTCCTGCTTACATTGTTAGCGTGGAATGCATCACTGTTCATGTGGAATACAAGAATTCTTGTTTATTTTTCCATTTCATTTGAATTTTATCGTTGCATCACTTCAAGAAATACCTCTCAAATATTCGTAGTAAGAAGCAAAAATTTTGCATTCAATTTTTTTTAAGGAATTTATATTCCATTCTTTCAGTAAATAGTTTTCATTTTTTATTCTGCATGCAAATTTTGTGCAATTCAGGAATTTTTAGTAGAAGATGGGATTAGGTGTTTTCTACTGTTTATTTTGCAAATTTATGGCCCCCAATTCGTGTGCCATAAATTTATGGCATAAATTTATCGCATACGAATTGGGGACATTAATTGGCAAAATCAGCTATACAGATAAACTGTTTCCTCCCGCAGATATTTATGAATTGATGTGGAGTCTGGATTGTTTTGGGCCAGTTTTCGTGCACATATCATAACAACTGCACTTTTAGAAAGTTTTTTTGTATTTATTAAATATCTACATTTGAACTTTTTAGGTTCTGAATTTGAATTGAATTTAGAATAGAATAATTCATGGAATTTCTCATTAAATTTGGACACTTGGTAAAATTATTCATGAAAAATAACCATTGGCATTCCAATGACAATTTGAATCCTCAACATCAACTAAATTTTTACCACTTGCAGTAATTTTTATTGTCGCATGGACTTTACAAGTCGAGATTTATGTTGTGGAGAAAATTTCGACCGAATTTTTTAACCTGCTTCATAGTTATTGAACTCTGCAGTCATTAACTGATTCGAGGTGATAAAATCTATGTTGTCCAAATGATGGAAAATTGATCTAGTTATCTGGATTAAGCATTTTGGATGTTCCATCATTCGGACATCATAGATTTCATCACCCCGAATCAGCTAATGACCGGAGAGGCCGATAACTACGAAACAATGTAAAGATTTATAAAAAAATTTTCGAAAAATTCGCACGTACTTCCGGACATACATACACACATATGCTAAAAACATCATATCTTCACGTTTCATGAAATTCTACGTCATTTCCAGGTAAAATTCGAAGATCGTCAAAATTAAGGATTACAAAGCTTCTGTTCGGAAGTAAAAATTGCAATTTCATTGAATATTCCCTAAATTAATTGATTTATCAGTATCAACGGATGTGGTAATTTCATGTGAATTAGTCGTAGATAAAAATTTAAAATTTTTTATGCCACTCATGCCTGAAACCGGCTGGATTACGCACTCGACGCTTCGCGTCTCGTGTCTAATTCAGCCGGTTTCAGGCTTCGTGACATAAAATTTTGTTCAATACTTGTTGGGAAATTTCGTCCTTAACGTGTGTGGTTACATCAGTCGCCTTCGGCTCATGCTGTAAACCCCACACACGTTAAAGACGATATTTCCCCACATGTACTGAAATATACTATTTCCTCGAAGTATCAGGAGTAATTTTTGTAGCAATAAATTTCAGTATAAAGATATGAGTGTTTTCATCGATGAATTTTCTTAAATCCCTTCCTTCCAAAAATATTTCTGAAAAAAGACAAAAATCCATCAGAATATCATAGAAAATATTTCACACACTAGGAAGTTTAGATGAAAATATCAGAGAACCTTTCTTGGAATCCATGAAAGTTTTCTACAAAAAAAAATCACTATTATTTTTTCAAAATCACTTCCTTAGAAAAATTTTTGCAAAAGAAGAGATCCATCTCCTAGTATTTGCGACTGCATTGAATCTGTCGTAAACTCTACTATTCCTTTTTTTCCTTATTTCAGATATTCAAATTTCTTCTATTTTTAAATTCAAGGTAGATGCAATTCAGCAACGTCTGCTAGAAAGTATCGATGGGGTCCTCGCAGTTCATGAATTTCACGTATGGCAACTTGCTGGCGATCGTATCATCGCTTCAGCTCACATCCGCTGTCGTAATCTCTCCGAATATATGAAAATTGCCGAACAAGTGAAAGAGTTCTTTCATAACGAGGGTATCCACTCCACCACTATTCAGCCTGAATTTATTGAGGTATTTTTCATTTCCCCGAATTTTCGATTTTAAGGGGAGACTACTATGAGATTTACAAGTCGCGGGCTATTGGAATGAGATTTCTCATACATTGAAGATCGATTATATACCTCTAAAAACAAATATTAAGGGCCCAAAAATGAATTGCTTATTGTTCATTTGTCCCGCAGACATTTAAAATGTTGAAAATAGTCCAGGGCCTCCAATTTTTGAGTTACAGAGGCGTTTCTTAATTTTTGAAAAAAAGTGTGCAATAATAATTATGAGTTAGTTTTTTTGAAATTCGAATCGTACGCGGCTAATTTCTTTTTTTTTATAAAAAAAAATTCACCATTCATGTAAAATAGCCAGAAAAATGTTTCTAAAAAAATCAAGACTATATTTTCAATATTTTAAGGGTAATTTTTCTGGCTACTTTACATGAGTGACGCAATTTTTTGTATAAAAAAATGAAATTAGCTGTGTAGGAGTTAAATTGAATAAAAAAATTGGTGTCTCTCGACCATTTTTAACATTTCAAGGGTCTGCGGGGCAAACAAACAATAAACAATTAATTTGCTTACACTAATTATTCGGCTTTAGGCATATATAAACGATCTTCCATGCATGAGAAATGTCACCACATAGCCCATGACTTCTAAAACTCATAGTAGTCCCCTTAATTACTGATGAAATTAATTAGGCAATTTTTTATTCTTTAGTACAACACAAATAGTGAAATCAAGGAGACGCCAACTGAGGACTGTGTACTTGATTGCCCTAAAACGGATAAACCGTGTAATCATGCAACTTGTTGTGGGCCTTCTAAACAGGTAACTAATATTTTTGTATTCAGTTTTCTTATTTTTTCTCCTTTCTTCTGATAAATGATCCTTTCAATCCTATAAAATTATGCAACATTCAATGTAACTAACGAATGGAATGAAATGAGTGAGGAAAGATTCAAACTTTAAAATACCTTTAAAAAGAAAAAATTGAGAAATAGCAACAAATTTTTTAATAAATTCCATGGGTTATTTAAAAGGCCTTTTAACATTCCTCATGATGGCTTTTTATTTTTTCAATAATGATAAAAATAAGAAGCATTTAATTCTTCCAATTAATCGTCCTTAAATAATTGTTGAATTTTCTCGTTATTATCAGTTACTAACAAAGATTGTTTCAGAGATTTTTTCTGTAGAGAATTAAAACCAATTATTTCTGAGATAATTCTCTAATTGTTGAAACCTTCCAGTTTAATTCAGCCTTTTTCCACAAAATTTCGGTAATAAATTTCGAATTCAATAAAAATTTCAAAGCATTCTTTCCATCATTAACTTCATTTGAAATTAAATATTGCATAATTTTCGTCAATCTGAATGGCGATGAATGAGAGATATGTTCAGAACAAATTTACAGATTATTTTGTAAATAATATCTTTGGAAGAAAGGGCTCTAGGAAAATTCATCAAAAGACTTTTGCGCCAAGGATTTCATCAATTATAAACGATCTTTTGATATTTTCCTGTGAATCTATCAGTTCCAGAGGTATTATCAGAATAATCTCGATGAAATGGGGCATTGCTCCCGAAAAAAGTATCTCCTTGAAAATTTTCAGTAAAAACTTCTCCCCCTAAATTTCTGCAATACAAATGTTTTCTCATTTTTTCTCCTTTTCTCATTACTTCCGAAGTGCTCCAATCAGAATTTATAAATAGATAATCTGCAATGACACCTTTAAGGATATTCAAGTACTTTGGCGATATTTTTACTAGTGAAATCCTTTTCTACTTTTGTAGTGAAACATCAGAGTTTTCATTTGAGCCCCATTTGACCCAAAATTTCTGGAAATTTTACAATGATTTTATTATTTAAACTTTGTAGGTCTTAATTTTAATCTCGATATTAAACCGTTACAAAACATATTAAAAATCTACAAAAAATTAGAAAGTTTAATTTTGGAGGAACATTGATAAAGCAATTTAAAAATTGCAATATTTGAAAATTATTAGCATTGGCTATAAATAATTTATAAGCAATCGATTTTCCACCATAAAAATCATTTATTCGGAATCGTAAAAAATTCATATTCAGAATTTTACCAGAAATCGACTTCACGCTGGAAAAAATTGGGTTTCTGAAAGATTAAACAATTTCGATTATTTATTTAGAAATAACGAATGTTTAAAAAAATAATAATTCTGTGCAAAGGATAATTTGAATGACGCTGAATACTCATGATTTTGTTTTCAAATTTTTCTCAAGCAATTCAATTAACAATTGAAGAAAAATTACGTGTCTCAAGAAAATGTTTCAGATATTAGAAATTTTTTTTCACTGTGTAATGGCTGGTCAGTCGTAATTTTTCTCCGTAGCCAATGCCTGTCACATCGTTAGTTGCCATGATAAATTATCCATTTACAATTTCTTCTCTGTCGGACTTATTGCTTGATCTTTATTAAAAATGCTCTTTGAAAATGTTCACTTTTTTCTACTTTTTTTTTTATTGTGTAATCATAATTTTTGGGGACACCTACGTGATGTAAAATTCAGTGGAAATTATGATATATTTTAGATTATGAAGATGGAAAAACAATCTAGATAACCCTCGAAAAATAATCCGTCTGGGCTTTAAATAGAATATTTTGGGAATAAGAAACAAGAAAAGGTTGCTGAGAATTCATCCTTGCAGATATAAATTCTCTGCCACAGTTATTGTTTTTTTTTCTGAGCTCTATGCGTATACGAATCAGGAGCTCATGATAATGACCAAATATTCCACGGTAAATTAAAAAATAACGTGAGGATCATTACAAATTTTAATCATTAGACTTGAGATTTTTTTCACGCCACTAATTGAAAATAATTTTAATTTAAATCCGTAGACTTGAGAAATTTTCGGGACGGAATTTTCATAAAAGAAATTTGGTACGAGAAATTTTTAAGGAGGAATTTTTTCAGGAGAACTATAACCCGGATATCAATGGAATTGCTGAATCTATCTCCTGTTCTCTATACCTTCGATGTAGTTATTGTTCGCAATTTCCTTTCTAAGAAAAAATGACTCCATCTCTTTTATCTCCGGCAGTACTATTTGAACAGAAGCGACTCTCCCTCCTCTCGTTCCCAGTGTCTAGGACGTTGTCTGGCCGGTATTAAATCAGAGTCAAGTACAATAATAGGTAATTGGTAATTGGGGCATCCTCAATACCACAAGTAATTACGTACTGAACAACTGGGCCTGATCAAAGACACAACAAAAGAACAGTTATCACAATCTCACGGAAATGAAGTATCGGGAAGTGTCGAATTATTGAATTGAAAATTTAAAACGACTAAAAAAACGATTGCATAAAGTCGAAATTGTTTGAGACTTTTTCATGGATTTTTTATCGAAATGATTGACTATTAAACCAGGCAATGAACTTGTTACAAAATGATTTTTGTTCCATCATTTCAGTAATAAAACAATGATAAACACAGTTTGATTGAAATTGATCGCACGCATTCAGAGTCAGCATTAATAGGTCAGTGAAATATTCCGATGGTGAATCAACTGGTGGTAACGAATGATTACGAAATCAGAACGTGATACTCACTGTATTTTTATTACAATGGAAATGTCGAACAATTATGAAACAAATTTATTTCCCATCAGGAAGTTGAAATGTCGTAATTGTTATCAAAGAGTTGCGGGGCACAATGTCATAGAAATACAATTAATTACAGAGTTGACCTGATTACATCTCCGATTCGTTAGTGGCATTCTGGATTTTGTCAAAGAAAATATGTTACCTTAAGCATTTACTTGGATTGTGAATTCTACACGGAAATTTTTTTAATGTTTTAATGATATTATTCGCATGCTTTTTCCTTAGAAATCCGATTTTTTATATCAAAATAGTGTTCGATCGCTCAAATTGAGATTTTTTATTTGTTGCAACTGAAGATTCAGCTTCAAAAGAATCCCCAGCGTAAATTTAAATTTTTATTGAAATAGTTTGTTGAACATGATCGCCAATTTTGGCGCAAAAACTATTACATATAAGGTATTCCATGTCAAATGATTCAACAGCTGACCCTCACCCTTTTGAACATTGATCTCGATTTTTTTTTAAGATTGGGGGGCTAGAAAAACTGTCTCTCAATTTTTTTCAGATTTTTTCAACTGCCCATTTCGAAATTCAGATTTTTTCTTAGTTTTTTCATTTTTTTTTTCAATAATTCGGGTTTTATTCAGCCGATTTTAATTTATGATGGCTCAAAAATTTTCATGTTCTACCATCTATAAGAAGGTTTTGAGTAATTTTTTTTCAATCCCTAGGTGCTCATAGTACCGAATCAAAAAAAAAATTAAAAACTCGAATTTTCAAAATTATGTCACCTTTTATTGATCTCATCTTTTTCTCAGTAACTTTTATGATCAAAACAAGTATTTTGAGCCGTCATACAAGTTGGGTTTCGTCCCGAATCTATTTTATTTTTTATTTTGTTCTTCTCTAAATTCCGCGAATTTGGTCAAAACAAGCCAAAACGATTTCGATTATGTATCAAAAAAATATGTAACATATAAGTAACCATTTAAATTTACTTCGTACTGTTTAAGTCAATCAACGCCATTTTGGGGTATTCTGATCAAATTCGTGAAATTTCGAGGAGAAAAATTTGAAAATAAAATAGATCTAGAACTTGTATGATGGTTCAAAATACTTGTTTTGATTATGAAGGATACTGAAAAAAAGACGAGAAAAATAAAACGTGACATAACTGTGAAAATTCTAGTTTTTCAACTTTTTTTTTTTGAAACTTCGGTATTATGGGCACCTAGGGATTGAAGAAAAAAAATACTCAAAATATTCTTACAGATGGTAGAAAATCGAAAATTTTGACGTGTCATAAATCAAAATCGGATGAAAAGAACTGGAGTTATTGAAAAAAAAACAAAAAAACAATGAAAAATTCATATCTCCGAAATCGGGTGTTAATAAAATCTGAAAAAATAGAGAGATAGTTCTTCTAGTTCTCCAATCGTAGAAAAAATCTATATTAATTTCCAAGCGGGTGAGAGTCAGCCGTTGACTTATTCGACATGGAGTAGCTCATATAAAGTTATAATTCATAAATGACGTTTATAAATGATATTCAAATAAAACAAAATTTTTTAATATTAACAGAAATTTTGATAAACGAATAAATTTGAAAATGCATTTCCTCTCCCATTTTTCATAATTAATAAGCGAAGATTAGTAATCATATTCAAAAAACTATTTTAAAAATCTATCCGTCGAGAATTTTTTCCAAGTTGACTGTTCGGTTAAGAAAAATTGAAATCTCATTTTTACCTACAAAATCAGATTGCTGAGTCATAATCAGGCGAAAAAGACTACTTTTAAGGATTTTTCCGCAAAAACGGAGATTTTTTTTTCCAAGGTAAACCCTCCCTCAAGAATTTGTGGGAAATATTCATTTCCTTCCCTAATTCAGAAACCCTTGGGAAAAATAATGAAAAAGTCTTATAAATACTATTGATAATAATATTCATTTGTGCTATAAAAAATGATGAATTATACGTGAATTCGCTAAAAGTGGCCAAAAATTTCATGACTCTAAAATGAAAAAACCTACTGAAAGTTGCAAATGTCATATATGTTGATGTGAAACACTTCATTGCTCTCCAGAAAAAATAGAAAGAAATGAATTAATAATTTTTTTAATTCAACAATAGGGACGTGAAACTCCATCGCCCGGTGAGACTCCCTACATGTGCCGACAGCGTAACAGCCTGGCACGTTCAACAATATCAATCGGTGCTGACCAGCATGAAGTTAATGAAATGGAACGTGGCCACTTACTATCACCGCCTCCGTCCCACCACTCCGTCCAACTGACCCATCAGAACAGCCCGAAGATCTAAAATTCGCTCATCAATCTAAAATTAAATACACAAAACAAATGAAACAAATCACAAAAATCGAGTGACAGAAAATCTAAATAAATTAAGAACTGAATGGATGCCGAGTGATTCCGTGTGTGAGGACGTTTTGAATGGGGGAGAATAAAAATAAAAAAGAATGCCTACTTCCGTTCCAGGCGAGTGCAAAAGACAAGTCAAATTAGTGAAAATTGTACAAAATGCAATAAATTTATATTTCTTTTTTGCACTCACCTCCATTGCTCCGAGGGAGTCATTATTTTTGCTTTCGACTCATTGTGATTAGGAAAAATGTAGACTAGATTTTATTACATTTTTCTCACTCATTGCTGCAGTGAAATGATAAAAACGAGATTGGCCCAAAAACCGTCTTTACTATTTCGTGAATATCTCCGAAACTATTAGATTTGTAAAAAAATATCAGAGGACCGTTCTCGTAGTTCTTAAAATTCCCCGCAATACACATTTTGTGACATTTTTCGATAAACCCCTTAGTTTCGAACATATTCGAGAAATAGTGAACGCGTGCATTTTGAACTCGTCTCTTTTTACCAATTCATGACTGATTTGTATTCTCACGCTGCTGGGTGATGTATTTAGTTATACTATTGTACAGAAAAATGTTTATTTCTAGATTATCAAATGGTCTTCGTGTACGAGAGTACACACTCGTAGTTTAATTAACACTTTGACAGGGGTTTTTCATAACATAAAAGAAACTTGTCTGTACGTTGACTGCCAAAGGCGTTTAAGTACCAAATTTTATGAGAACGGATATTGAATTTTTTTACCATTAACATTTTGTGGATTAAAGCTATTGCTCTACGGAGTTTATCGTCACATATTAGTGATATGATATTACGTTTCGATTTATTTTTCTTCTTATTGTATTTCTATTTTTACAAATTCATTATAATCTGTAATTTCTCGAACAAATTAATGATTTTTCATTATGAAAAATAATGAGCGATTGAGGTAGGAAATTTCTTGGAGTATCGTAATTATTCTAAATACAGAATTAATGGTTTAATGCTTTATAGAGAAAATTTATATTATTTCATAATAAGATGTTTGATTGCTTCGATTTTTATAAATTTCAGTATTTTCATTTACCGATGTAATTTGCATTCGCAGCTAACGAGTTTATTTCGTACACAAGTGGAATTGAATATTTGTTGGAGTTAATGAATAAAATCAATCCACTCGAAAGAATTTATTAGTTTATCAGAGACAGAGAGAGAAGGTCTTGATTTTTTAACAAATTAATTTTATAGTTTTCAGTGACTCTTTTTCATATGACAGGCATTAACCAGATAATTAATGATCAAATATAGCTTAATTCACTTTAAATCATCCACGATTTTTATAGAAATGCAACATAAAACGTGAGGAGATCTATGATGGGGGGAGGGTAAAACGATCTGACTTATTATTATCCATGTCTAATTTTTAATCGTTTAATTATCTCGGTAGTGGCTGTTTTTACGATTAAATGTAAAAAAAACCTGAAAGACAATTTCCTATCGAATACGTCTCCTGCCATTTTCTCCCAAAGTAGCTAATTTCCGAGATAATTAAGTAATTGACTAAATTTTTGTGTTTGACTTGACTCGTTTTACCACTTAATCACTGAGATAGTCTCCCTAAGCAAGATATATTTTGTAAAATTTTTTAAGTAGCTAAAACTGAAGTGAGCATACACTTAAAAAAGTACGAAAAATCTTCAGAGCAATGATGCAAAGACTAAAACGTAGCAAAATGGTGAAAGGGAATGATTTTCAAAAAATCGTACAGATTATTCCTCGAATATCTTTGAAACTAGTGGATTTATCGAAAAATGTTAATGGAACTTTTTTGCATCGAATGTAAAATTTTTTCCTCCGCAAAAAAGGTCTCTTGACATTTTTTCTAATCCCCTTTTCTCCGAAGATATTTGGGAAATAATCTGTCATATTTTTCGAATGATTCCCCATTTTTCACCACTTGACTACTGAACTATAACTCTACCTCCTTGATTAGAGAACAAAATAAAATACTGTATGATAATTCAATTAGCAATACTGCCAAATTATAAAATTGATCATGAGAAAATTGAAGAAATATTTCGCACAGTCTCAAACATTTTTCCGGCAACATTTGCTTACGCCAAGTATTAAAAAAGAAAGATTTAATTGAAAGAATGAGAAGAAGATTTATTAATTATTGATGAGAAATTGTAACGTGATGTTAACAATGAGGACAAAAGAATTCATCGTTCCCTAGAGTAAACTATATTTGTATATGCTGAAAAGAAAAAATCTTGTATCAATGCAGGAGTGATATATGTCGTTGAAAGAGACTAGAAGGAAAATCAAGAAAACTTGTCGTTAGGGTTAAATAAAAAATATTCTCATTTCTTTATTCACAAGGAAATGGGAGAGATGAATCATTAGGATAAATTTTACTGTAAATAGCAATGAAAGAAAATGAGAGAAAAAGATGAAGAGTATTTATAAGCCAATGTTATGAGTAACTTGGAGAAAATATAAATTTTATTCGTCAGTCCTTAATTGGTGTTTCTAATTTTCGGGTGGTTGTTCAGTAGATTTGTTACATATAAAAATAATTCGTCGTCAATGATTAGTTTGCTTGTCATTTTTCACTGACTAGTGAGTATCCTTGTTAGTTTAAATACGAGTTTTAGGTGATTTTGTTTAGCCCATAGATGCCATTTGTTGATTTATCCATGCGACATAGTTGTTGACGTTGACGTAAACACCGGGAATTCCGGATGATGCGCAACCTATGCCCCATGCAACGAGGCCAATTACTTGGAACTGTTGAGTGGCGGTTTGACAGACCAGGGGGGCCCCACCGTCTCCCTGAAATCACGGATGTTCGTGTCATGCCAATCAGATAAATTATAGAGAGAGTTGTTTTGTTTTCTCTTCCGAATTTCGAGAGAAATTACGAAACTATTCGACATGAGTCTTTGAAGGATATCTCGCAATTTTGTTTACTAATTTTAATCCTCCTGGCTCTCGTTACCCCCGTGAGAATAGGCCACGAGGGGCTAAACTAGGGATGTGAAATGACCGTCATTTTTCAATACGGTCAGGTCAGGCAAAATTGACCGCTTTCTGACCATTTTCTGACACCGAGATAATTCCCCATGCAAAATGACCGCCATGAACAATTTTTTCGGTCAGATTTTTGGTTATTTTATTTCATTAGTTAGGAATTGAATCGCATTTCATAATTTAAAGTTAATGTTTATTGGAACGAATTCCAAAACAATCATAAATTCGATACTCGAGATCACTCATCATGATAAACTCATGAACTTAATAAACGTCAATAAAATTAATTAAATATATATTTCGGTATATATTGTTTTTGATGAAAAACTTCATATTAAATTAGGAGGATGCTGGATGAGGCTCGTCTTCAGACCTTCTTTCCTCAATTGTCATAATTGCCACCGGCTCCCTCATCTAGCTGGCTCAGCTCTTCACCTGAATTGCTTGCTGAACGAATTTAGTTATCTAGTGTCGTATAGACCCCTAGTGGCGACGTAGGGTCCCTATGACCGCCTGCAACCTTGCCGACACCGAGTAACCGAATAAAAATTTCTGTGTCATCTGTATAGATGAGAATTGACCGTCAGAATTGAATCGGTCATTTTTCGAATTCCTGACCGAACCATCAGATTTATGGACATGGTAACTACCCGTCATGACCGCGGTAATTGACCGTAATTTGACCGGTCATTTTTGTCACACATCCCTAGGCTGAACCCCATAAGACTTCTTCTTATTTTACTTTATCCATGTAATCAAACTATTGCCTTTATTTTATTCGATTCACTCAAAAAGGATTGAATGGATTTTATGATTTTCCCGACAAAAAATTATTTATGCCACTCATGCCTGAAACCGGCTGGATTACACACTCGACGCTTCGCGTCTCGTGTCTAATGCAGCCGGTTTCAGGCTTCGTGACATAAATAGTATATTTCGTCACTAGGCCGAAAGTTTTTTTTGGCCATATGACGAACAGTATTTTTTGTTATGACGGCCGTAGGCAGAGATTCACGGACGCGGAGCGGAGCGTCCGTGAAGCGCTGCCTCACGGCCGGAATGACAAAAAATTTTGTTCAGTACTTGTGGGGAAATTTCGTCCTTAAC